TGTGGCTGATCGAGGAAGTTGATTGAGTTGAGAGGGTCATTTAATTATGATCAGTGGTTCTTAGCAGTGATATATGTTTAGAGATGTATTCTGACAACAATAATGCTGTAACATAAGTCTAGCAACCTATCTCTCAACTAATCCTTTAAACATATCACATCACCTAACTTAGGAGACTGTCGAGATATATCATGTTATAATATAATATGCGGAAACTGATCACTAACAATATTATTGATCCACTAACAAAGCCTTTCACAAAATAGAATCGTGACTTTCATTTTAGATACATGGGTTAAAAGAATTGGAATCTGAAAGAAATTGGAACGGAATGTTATCAATTTTGATCCAAGTGTTTGGTTAGCAGGAAATGGAATGTAATATGTCAAATGAGTTTGAATCTATCTGTTTGGTCTATAAAGGAATTGGAATGTAAAACAGAAAATGAAAAATGACAAAAATACCCTTTCTTTGATATATTTTTTAAAAATTATTTTAAGTATAATTAATAATAAAATATATAAATTACCATCGATTTTTTTTAATTTTAGTAATTGAATTAATAATGAAATAAAAATTAAAATTTGTTTTGACCAGTCCTTTCTTCCTTATCCCTTTCCTCACCCATTTTCTTGACCTAGACACCGTCCCTTCATATCTTTTTCCTTCTTCTTCCCATCGCATCACCAATGGCCACCATACACCACCTTTCCTCCTTGCCAATCGAAAAAGAAGAACACGACCATAATCAATTGAAGAGAGAGAACCTAGAATCGATTGAAAAACAAACCGAGACTTGAAAATCGAGAAACAAATCGAGAGACGTAAACTCGTGCAAAGGCTTTTACTTGGTGGTGGCAATGATGAGGAGAACAGAAGAGAGCAAGATCGAAGAAGAAGTTGGGCTTTGCAGATCGAACTATAGACTTTTTATAGATCGAGAGATGACTTTTTAGACGTAATTAAGAAATCGGTGAACCAGTAGAAACCAAGAGAATATCTATTGATGAAGCAGTACGTCAGAAATTTCCAGTTAGTGTTTTATCTTTCAATGAGGGTATTTTTATCATTTTAAAATATTGGGTGGAATTGGTTTCAGTTCCATCACTTTTAAGAAGGAATGATTAAATTCACATTTCAGGGAATCTTTGGATTTCAATTCCATTTCATGATTAACCAAACGTTGGAATGGAAGTTGGTCAACGGAATTGACCATTCCTATTCCATTGGATTCCGTTGAAATCCAGCAAACCAAACGCACCCTTAGATGTAGGAACTCGTTTGATTGATAAAAAGCTCACATATGAGAAGGATGTCCATCGAGCAATTAAGGTTGGGCATGCCGACTTTAGTAAATTTCAAGGGCACGACCTCTGATAAGAGTACTTGGAATAGGAGGACCAGGTAGCATATTAGGTATGGAGGTACTATAGCTTAGGTAGTTGTGCAAAAAGGGGTTGAACTTGTTGAAGGGTGAAGAGGATCAACAACTTAGGAAAGAGATGTGTTTTTGCTTGAAGTTTTTCATATGCTTTCAATGTACCCAATCATACTTTTTCTTCATATTTCTCTTGTGTTGTGTTCATCATATATGTTAGTCTTCATGCTCTCTACCTATCTCTCACACTTTTGCATAATTCATGGGTCTTCATGGAAATCTACTCTTTTGGGATATAGTTTAGATATACATCTGTTGATCCTCACTCTCAGTGATTTGATGATAATCCATTTTCACTTATACGTTGTATTTATGTTTCTGTCTTTTCAGTTCCAGCGATCTTCACTAAGTCTGTTCAGTAATTGCTGAAGAACTTGTATTGTAAATCAATCAGAGACAACGATACTTCAAGAAGACAACACTCACACCAAAAAACCTTCAGCAAATGTCGAAGACTGAAATTGAAGATTAGAGACCGGCGAGTACGTGATTTGAAGCGGTACTCAGTGATTACAAGCCTGTCTACAAATGTGTGAAGACTGCTCAAGCCTCAGCGAATGCTGAAGAGACCTTCAGGTCATTCCAGCATTCAACGATCAAAGGAAGCTTGCTTAGCACGACTGTTGTTGTCTTGTCCTTATACACACAAAGGACAAACCTATACCCTTATAAAAGTTGGTACAGTACGGAGCCGACTAGTCGACTCTATTGTCCACCAACTTTAGGTAAGGATGTTTGCTCACGAATAGTGCTTTTTGTACTATTCACTGTAGCAAAGGAAAAGCCTTCCTCTTAAGGCTTGACACGCACTCTAACCCTATCATATTCCATTAAATAAACATTTAATGCACTGGGTATAAATAGAAGTGTTTCTTCTCCATGCAGAGTGCGCGCAACTCACTCTCTAAACCTAATTCTTACTTCAAGCATTTTCTAGCTTAAGTAAAGGATCTTCTCTTTACATCATTTCTTTTCTTATTTGATAAGAACTCGTGTGTAACCAAAGATTGTTTAGATAGATTTTTATTACCTTATTTTTCCGCAAACAATCTTGTAAAATCTATATTGATCTTCTTTATCAATATATATTTTAAATTTGAAAAATATTGTGTTGTATTCGTCCCCCCCCCCCCCCCCGTCTACAAACTGTTTTACTATTCTTGTAGAGCCTCAAGGGACCAACAACATCCATATCACTCTCCAAATCCTACTTAGAGAGGAATTCTAATTTTCTTGTATCACATCATACATGAGTGGAGAGAGCACTCAATTATTTATACCCATTGCATTAAATGCAATTCAGAATAGACAAAACACGCATCAAGATTTTAGAGGAAAGTTTGTCCTTTGCTATAGTGAATAGTACTTTTGTCTATTCATGAGCAGACATCTTTTCATAGAGTAGGTGGGCACTAGAGTCGATTAATCAGCTCCGTGTTGTACTATACTCTTGAGAGGGTATGGGTTTGTCCTTTGTGTGTGGAAGGACAAAACAATAAAAATCGTGCATGGCAAGCTTAATTTGATCGCTTAATGTTGGAATAATTCTAGAGGTCTCTTCATCATTCACTGAGGCTTGTGTAACCTTCACACATATGTTGACCAGGTTGTAATCACTAAATACCGCTTCAGATCACGAACACACTAGTCACTAATCTTCAGTTTCGGTTTTTGACTTTTGCTGAAGGTTCTTGGGTGTGAGTTTTGTCTTCTTGAAGTATAACTGTCGTTGTCGGATTACAATACATGTTTCAACGATCACTAAACAAACTTAGTGATGATCGTTGGACCTAAATAGACAGAAACATAATACTTCGATGGGTAAAAGGGATTATCATCAAATCAATGAGAGAGGGGATCAACAATCTCCCCCTATTTGATGAGAACAAAGCAACATAAAGAAAATTGCTATAAGGTATAATAGTAAGGAAAAGTTACACGTAAAGTACATGTCTCTTTTAACTATTTTGAGGTCTTTTTCAGTGATACATTATTTTACTATATAAGTTTTCTTAAGTTACAAGTTTAAGAAAAGGTACAAGAAGGAAAACTGAAACTGAAAGCATGTTCACTGACTGAAGATTGTCAGTGAATGTAAGAGCATACTGGAACTCATAGACATGTGTCCCTATTACTCTTTTCAGGGATATTTTTTAATGATACTGGTGAAATATTTATATTATTCAAAAGGAGGAATACAAGTGTTCCAACAGTACATCCTAGACTTATTACATATAAGTTGCACACTGAATGAAAAGACATAGAAAAATAAGATTACAAGATAGAAAATTTTAACTAATCTAAGTCGCTGAAGTCAATGTAACCAGGTACTTCTTCTCCACGCATCCTTCAACGTAGAAATCCTCTTCTGATCTTGCAGTCTATCATCTCACCATAAAGGTCATTGTCCAACCAATATCTTAGATAATCTAGATGTTACGATGCTCAAATACTCTTTGAAAGCTGTGTTCGCCATCATAGTCAATGAATATAAATCCAAACTCAGGCTTTAGGTGCACAAAGTTGGGTGTGTAAGGACCCTTCACTGGCAAGACAGGTTCAACATAGAGATATCTGGCTTTTTCAAATCCTTTTGGACTTCCTCCAGAGAGAACTTTGTTTCATGTTCGTTCCCTAGAGTTGGTCCATCATTAGGATTAGAAGGTTTTCTTCTTCCACCTTGCTTCAATGTTGGCTTTGTAGGTACAACAACAAATTTGGACATCTTGATTAGCTTGCTGAGGATATCTTCAATTATTGGTTTGTGCCTTGACTTTAAGTGCTGAATGGCCTGGTAGATTTCCAGCCATTCGCTGTAGCCATATTGTCCAAGGTAGGAAGGATACTCGACGACATCGTCAAGGTTGTCTCTGATGATGAGCATGGAGATAATCATTCCACCTTACGACCACTGATTGTGACAGTAGAGATACGACGGGGACTAATTCTTTTATTTAGACAATCTTCAGTCCATCTCTTGTATCGGTCTTTTAGTTTCATTGCTTTTTGACGTTCAGATTCTGCAATTGAGAGCAATTTAGGTTAGGCCTTGACAGGGTTCACCATCTTTTTAGACTTTTTCTTCGGAAGAACTTGAGAGGAAAGAGACTTGGCCAACTTGAGGATGTCCTCAGTCTGTTATCATCGTATTTGGAGTTCTTCCTCAGCCTTGAGTACTTCAAGTCTTTCAGCTTCAGTAAGGAAGTCGAACTTACCACAACTAGAGGTAGGAAGAGTAATTTTTACTCTAGTTTGGTCAATGACTCCTTAAGCTGAGTCATCTGTAGGTCGCTAGGAACACTAGAAGTTGAGTTTTCAGGTACCCACTCAACTAGACGACCATAGGTGGTAGAAGGAATAGTAGATGATATTTGAGAGAGAGAAGTGATGACAGCAAACCTGGAAGGTCCAATATATCCTTGAGGATTGGTAGGCTTGAAGAGAACTTTCAAGTTTCCTTCTTCAGCAACACCTTTGTGTTTAGAGGAAGTGTTCTGGTTCTTTTCAGATGTTTCTTTCTCCTTCTCTCCTTGGAATGAAGATTCCCTGAGACAGACTCCTTTTAGAGCGGTAGCTGGTTTGGTGTGGTATTGAATAGTGAATTCGTCGTCATCGTCGTTTCATCATCATCATCAACATCAAGATCTTTTTCAGCATCAGGAAAGGAAGGAGAATCATCATCATCTTCATCATCATCATCATCATTTTCTTCATCCTTATCACCAGCATTAGTTGTAGAGGTGACAGGATGATCTTCGTCTTGAGCATCAGCTCTGACGACATCATCATTTTCCTCAGCTTCAGCAGCAGCTTCAGCTTCACGAGAAGTGACAACATCTACAACTTTAGAAGCAGCTTCATTTGCTTCAGCTCTTACATCTTGAGCATCATCATCAGCTGGTGTTATAGCGACATCAGCAGCTAAGTCTTTCTCCCCCTCTTTGTCATCAACATAACGAGAGATGAGATCATCAAGACTTTTAACAATTATATCCAATCGCTGTTCTAGCTCGGCCAGAGACTGAGTTTGAAGAAGATCAAGTTCGAGCACTTGATCTAGCGATAGACGATCATTAATTGTGAAGAAGGGTGCACGAACTGGCGCTAGACGTTGAAGAAGATCCACTATTTGCTACATCAGCTTACCATGCCTGGTAAGCTGAGTCTGTGCTTTATCGGCTTTGTCGTTGAGAGTAGAGATGGCCTCAGCATTGGTGCGGACATCGGCTTGCATCGTAGATAGTAATTCCTTCACATCATTGACTTCAACTTTGACAACTGAGAGGTTAGAAGAAAGGTCATCCTGGAAAAGCATGTCCTTATGGACTTGGTTCATTTTTTATCAAGACAGTCTCTACAGCTGGGAGAATCAGCTTGACATCGTCAACCATGTTGTATTCATCTTCCATGGCTGTCGATTCTTCATTGAAAGGACCTAAAAAAGAAGAAGTTTGAGCATAAGATAGCTCGAGGTTAGAAGAAATGAAGGGGTAGGTTGGTAGAGTACCTGAGGAGTCATCAACACCATCTAAAGGATTGATGTTGGTTCTCTCCTGGTTTCCTTCGAAAGGATAGACTTCCGTTGACTAAGGTATCTTGAGAGAAGCGACCTCAGGTCCTGTGGTGATTGCTTCATCATCAGTGAGAACAATCACTGATGAATCACCAACATGTGTTGAGACCAAAGAAGGGGGAGAAGAGAAGATGGCTGAGAGTGGTGGAAGTGGGTGTTCAGTAGTGGCTATGTTGATATTCACACCATTAGTGATTTGGGTCACTGAGGCGCTTGGGAGAGGAGCCAGGTGTATGACAGTGATTGGAGAAATAACTGAAGAGCTAGGAGGGGTTATAACAGAAGTTGCCTTGGGGGTAAGGCTTGTTTCAATGACTGAAACCTTTTGAGAGGTAACAGCCAGGGATGTGGGTATCCCCTTTTTGGCTTTCTTGGCCCTCGATGGAGAACCAAGAGTGGTTTGAGGGGAGGATCTTTTAGACGAGAGGGTGGTGGTGGTTGGGATAGGCTGGAGGTGTTTCCTTAGTCTTGACCACCAGAGCAAGGGAAGAAGGAAATACAGGCACAGTTGCAGAAGATGAAAAAGTATTGCAATGAAATGAGAAAGTACTACAATGTATGTTGCGCGTGGTATCCATAAGAGAGAGAAGTGCAGCATCTTCAGGTTTAGACTTATGATCCAAGATTCTGGACCCAATCCTGCAGATATCCAGGTTGCCTTCTGTGGAGTATTTGTTGCTAAAGATCTTAGCAAATTTTATACACAGGAATTTGGTGTAAGGCACCACTTCTTTCCTTTGGTGCTTGTTCAGCTTCAGCACCAGGTCTTCAAAGATAACGTCGGCTAAGTTGATTGGTCTCTAGTGAATGATAGAAATACCAATGTTTAAAGAAACTCTGGACGCTCGGTCTTGTCTACCATGTTTGCCTCCCATACACTGAATGAAATGGGAAAACAAATATTGTCATTCCACTGACATGTGGTTCTTCTCAATTTTTGAGAGCGATTTGAGGGGATCGCTGGAGTCCTTCTTTGTTGGCCAGGCATAGTCAATATCATCTAGACAGAAGATGATATCTTCAGTGGAAGGTTCACTGGCATAAGGACCATTTGGAAGCTAGAGAGCGGTCCTTAATGTGGCAACACCAAAACTGGCAATCATCCTATTAAACACGAAGGATATTTTCTCCACCGGTTTACCAGTCTTGTCAGTTTCTTGCTTGACTCAGCAGTAAGCCAGAACTATTGGAGGACTTCTTACACCATGATAGGTTCATGGGTGAGAGCAAAGAAAATAGGAGAATTCTTGAGGAATCTAGCAGCGTGCTCAAAATGTGGTTTATTGGCGGGAATGTCTAGAAGCGTCACATGGTTGTTGGGCTTGAAAGATACTTCGTCAATAGTGAAGTTTACATTCTTGGCAGACATTTCTATGATTTATAGAAGAAAACAGAAAATAACAAGTTAGTTAGAAATTCAAGATAAAAGTGTAAACTCCAAGTTTTGAATCGATAAAACTTCTTTTGAGAGATTTATCGTTTTTCAAAGAAGAATAAGTGTATAAACTTTAGATTATAACCAAGTATAAGAATGTGTTAATAATCTGTATGTTAGTTGTTTAAGAGAACGAGTTCTTAAATAACATAACAAGAGTTTCTTAGAAGAAGAACATATCAAAATAAGAAAGAAAGGATTATCAACCTGTGATTTTTAGAAGAAGAAGGTCGAAGGGGTTTTAGCATTCTTTGAGTTCTTGCTTGCAAAAGTTTTTAGCATAAGAAAAAATGAGAGAAGAGGTAATTTATAGGTAGGAGGAGAGAGAAATAGAAAGAGGAGAGAGGAAAATATGACTTGAAAGTTGTGCAATGATAAAAAAAGTTAGCACGTCCTTATCCACGATTGGATGGAATTACAAGGGGTCGCATGTGTTAGAACGAAACGCGCGTCTCAAAAAATCGTATCATTAAAATGAAATGACGTCAGAAGATGTTTCATTTTCCATTTTCTTTTAAACAAAAAAGTTTAAAAGTTTAAAAAGTTCAATGATAAGAAGAATCACTGAAGGAATTTTAACTTTTAAAACATTTATCACTGATTAAGTAAAGGTTCAATGATGGTTTTTGTTTTAAGATAAGATAAGTATGTCTTAGAAAGATACACTTGTTTAACAAGTTCAGTGATAGAAGGAACACTAAAACAATCTTTTAAAAACAATTTGATCACTGAATATGGAAAGATTCAGTGATAGTTTTATGTTTTGACTTTTGAAGAGAGGAATAAATATACATACCTTGGAGAGAGAAGATATATATACTCAAGAGTTCAGTGATAGAATAAGAACACTGAATCATTTCACTTACTAAGTAATGATTATAGCTGAAGGAGTTAATGCTCAGAGTTCAACATTCCAAGTTCGCTGATCAAGATGTTAAATCTTGTCTCACCAAGAGGCTTTGTAAAAAGGTCAGTGAGTTAGTATTCAGATGGAATAAAGTGAAGTTCAATATTACCCTTCATAACATGATCTATGATAAAATGATATCTGATCTCAATATGTTTTGTCTTGGAGTGAAAAACAAGATTGTTTGCAATAGCAATGGCACTGGTGCTATCGCAATAGATAGGGATCTGGGAAAGCTGTAGATCATAGTCGTTGAGATGGTTTTTCATCCAAAGAATTTGGACACAGCAGCTTCCAGCGGAAACATATTCAGCTTCAGCAATTGATGTGGACACAAAATTTTTCTTTTTACTTGTCCAGCTAACCAACTGTCCACCTAGAAGCTGACAGCCTCAAATATTGTTTTCCCTATCAATTTTGCATCCTACAAAATCACTATTCGAGTAACCTATTAGGTCAAAACCTGAACCCTTGGGATACCAAAGACCCAAGTTAGGAGTTGTTGATCCTCTCTCTCAGTGATTTGATGATAATCCCTTTTCACTTGTACATTGTATTTATGTTTCTGTCTTTTCAGTTCTAGCGACCTTCACTGAGTATGTTCAGTGATCGCTGAATAACTTGCATTGTAAATCTATCAGAGACAACAATACTTCAAGAAGACAACACTCACACCAAAGAACCTTCAACAAACGTCGAAGACTGAAACTGAAGATTAGAGATTTACGAGTACGTGATCTAAAGTGGTATTCAGTGATTACAAGTCTATCTACATATGTGTGAAGACAGCTCAAGCTTCGGCGAATGATGAAGAGACCTTCAGGTTATTCCAGCATTCAACAATCAAAGGAAGCTTGCTTAACACGATTGTTGTTGTCTTGTCCTTATACACACAAAGGACAAAACCCATATCCTTATGAAAGTTGGTATGGTACGGAGCCGACTAGTCGACTCTATTGTCCACCAACTTTAGGTAAGGATGTCTGCTCATGAATAGTGCTTTTTGTACTATTCACTGTAGCAAAGGACAAGCCTTCCTCTTAAGGTTTGACACGCACTCTAACCCTACCATATTGCATTAAATGTTCATTTAATAGACTGGGTATAAATAGAAGTGTTTCTTCTCCATGCAGAGTGCGCGCAACTCACTCTCTAACCCTAATTCTTACCTCAAGCATTTTCTAGCTTAAGTAAAGGATCTTCTCTTCATCATTTCTTTTCTTGTATTTGCTAAGACTTAGTGTGTAACTAAAGATTGTTTAGATAGGTTTTTATCACCTAATCTTTTCGCAAACAATCTTGTAAAATATGTATTGATCTTCTTTATCAATATATATTTTAAATTTGAAAATATTGTGTTTGTATTGACCCCCCCTTCTACAAGCTGTTTTACTATTCTTGTAGACCCTCAAGGGACCAACAAGTGGTATCAGAGCAGTGTTTTCTTTCTCTCTTTGTGTTTAGCTGTTTTCAGTATTAGTTTATCTCCTTTCTTAGATAACTTTATCGCTTACAAATGGCTTTACAAATTACAAACACACACAAAAGATAATGGCTCTCTTGCCAAACCTCCCCTGTTTGTCCGTAACAACTTTAGTCTCTAGCAGAATCGGATGTCCCTCTTTCTGGAAGGTGTGAATCTTGAAATTCCACATTATATAGAAAATGGACCATATATTTCATTTGCTATTGCTCCGGCTGTTCCAGCAACAGCTACGACTGCCGCGATTCCTGAACGGCAGATTCCAAAGCTTCCACATCAATGGAGCGATGAGGAGAAGAAGAAAATAGCTATAGAGACGCATGCGCGGTCTATAATAGCTATGTCTCTTCCTGATGAGATTTATCACTCAGTGATGAAACTCAAAACCTCTAAATCCATGTGGGACACACTTTTTGTCCAATATGAAGGAACCACTCAGGTTCAAGAGACCAAAAAGATCAATCTAGTAAGACAGTATGAAAGTTTTCTCTGTGGAAAGTCTGAGACGTTGTTTGAAGTACATCAGAGATTTAAGTGCTTTCTTATTGATCTTAGGGCTATCGATAGGGAATATTCTAATTCTGAAACCTTGACTAAGTTTYTAGAATGCCTTCCTGACTCTTGGGACACCTTTTCCATGTGTCTCAAGATGTGAAATGACATGTCCATTCTTTCGCTTTCTACTTTATATGGGATTCTGCTTAACCAGAGGAATCTCGTCAACTGAAAAGGAATCTTGTAAAAGAATCTAGGGAAATGAAAAGCTCTCCTCTAGCTTTCATCTCTGAAGCTTCTTCAGTTGAAACTTCTTCTACCCTGTTTGTTTCTTCTCTTCCTCCCGTTGTTATCACAGAGATAGATTCTTCTATCTCTGAGGACATTTCAGAATCTGATTTAACAGATTTTGATAAGTCCCTAGCACTCCTGACTAAGTCATT